TGGAAATAAGGTGTGGCCCCTTTAAGAGCTGCGCGCGCCCAACACCACATGTATACGGCGCCGGGTTATTTCTGTTTGATGCTCATTTTATCAGAATTTGATCAGATCTGTTTTTTGCCGTAAAGCAATTTGTTACCTCGCGAGACCTGATATCACACGATACTTCCTAACACTGAGGCCGGCGGCCCAAAGTTGCAAGGGTGGTTTTGCGGCTCACAGGCACCAGGGGGTGCGAGACGACCACCATTCAACACGAAATCACTAATATAAACATTACAATGACTCCAAAGCTGTTTGGTTAAGGTAAAAAAGTTACTTAGTTCACCTTTAAGTTTCTGGCTCGTGAGTTAGCTAAACTGAAGGGTTCTACGACTATAAATATCTCCGCTTGCTAAATAAACCGTCAGGCGTAACCAGGGAAACCAAGTTATTGTTTGTAAAAACTTTAGATTTCGATTGTAAAACTAATTAAAATATAAACTAATGTTTTAAAAATGTGTTATTTGGCAAGTGACCGTGGTATAAGCGGGTTAATGCCCTTCGAGGTGTCCACTGTCAGGTGTTAATGGACTTCGGTGGAGCTTCGCTGCGCGTCGGACGGTTCACGCCTCGCCGTCGGCCATTTTGTCCAGTTTGTCATTTTTCTTTTACAAAATATTCTACTTTGCTTATTATGGGGGCCCTAAAGGGACATTTGCAAAAATGTAATATACAGACTTATCCCTGCGCACATGAGAAACATTTCACGTACGCACTGTTTTTTGTTCTTGTTTTTACAGTTTCTGTTTTATACTGTCCATAACATATATTTTCTGTGCGTCTCGGCGGTGTGCATTGGGATATTTACCAAGTTCAAGGGTCCAAAAAAAAGGGCTGATTCAGTCAAAAGTGCTCAAAAGTTTGCTTTCGTTAGAGCAGTGCATTATATTTCAAGGTCTTGTGTCTTTAAAGACCCACTCCGATGAAAATAATGTTTTTCTAGGTGTTAACATGTTCTTGTGGCATTTTTCTGATGTTAGAGGACATATCTTGAGAAAAATAAGCTCAAAGTTGTATTTCTGAGTATTTCTACATTCAAATGGCTGTGAATCAGTAGCAGACGCTAAAATGCCGGCTAAAATCGACTGGAGTTGTGACGTAGTAACTCCACTGGGCGTCTCCACACGCGACGTCTTGGAGTGAAATAATGATCGGTGATAACTTTGATTAACTTCGGATAATAATAATTAACGTGTATATAATACTGTTGCCCCACCGGTATTGGGGGTGTAAGCTAGCGGGAGATACAGAGCTCTCAGCAACGGGCAGGGGGAGGGGCGTCTCCGTGCCAACGGCTCCGCCCACAACGCAGAGGCGAATTGCTAATGAGCTACTGCCGCTCTGCTGAAGCGGAGTCCCAGAAAACGGCACAGGTTTTGTGATTTTGGCTACAAATGGCATAATCATAATTTAAAGACCACTGGGAATGTTTAAAAATAGCTCAAAATATGATCGGAGTGGGACTTTAATAAATTTAGTTCTGTGGCGGCCGAGAAACTGCATTGTCGTATGCCAAGATTAATGGTTGATGAAAAAACACTGGTACAGTAAAAAATGATTTAACAAAATAATTGGATTTCGTTGGGCAGTATATTTATATTGTCCAATATAAAAATGATTGGAACAGTAAAATGTACTAACATTTCATATTTCACAAGATCAAAGCTCCCTGTATTAAACATGTTGTGGGATTAAACGCATCGTACAGATGGCAGAGAAATGCTGATGTTCTTCATTCAATATGGACTTCATAAAGGGAGGCTCACACGTAAAAACAATAGGGCTGGGCGATATGTAAAGAATATTTTAGCGATAATCGCCTTAAAAAGTATCTCGATATCCGATTATATGGTCTACCCAAGCCCCGCCCCCAACACACCCCGCCAGAGACACACACCGTAAACACAAGTGAAGTTGAGTTTGGCTGCACTTTATCTAATGATAGCCTGCGATTCAGTTAGTTTGATTTAATGATTGAAACGTTAAAGGTTTTACTTTGGTTGGTTTGAGCTTAAACAAACATAAAACATTAGCTTTGCTGTTATGTTAGTGTTGCTAACAATTTCCACACTGTTCTTATCGCATCTGTGTTTGAAACGGATTTCGCTTCGCTAGGAGAACTGTTGAATACACAGAACTGAACACAATCACAGAACTGAACACAATCACAGAACTGAACACAATCACAGAACTGAACACAATCACAGAACTGAACACAATCACAGAACTGAACACAATCACAGAACTGAACACAATCACAGAACTGAACACAATCACAGAACTGAACACAATCACAGAACTGAACACACAATCACAGAACTGAACACACAATCACAGAACTGAACACAATCACAGAACTGAACACACAATCACAGAACTGAACACAATCACAGAACTGAACACAATCACAGAACTAAACACAATCACAGAACTGAACACACAATCACAGAACTGAACACAATCACAGAACTGAACACTGAACACAATCACAGAACTGAACACAATCACAGAACTGAACACTGAACACAATCACAGAACTGAACACAATCACAGAACTGAACACTGAACACAATCACAGAACTGAACACAATCACAGAACTGAACACTGAACACAATCACAGAACTGAACAATGAACACAATCACAGAACTGAACACTGAACACAATCACAGAACTGAACACAATCACAGAACTGAACACAATCACAGAACTGAACACAATCACATGAACACAATCACAGAACTGAACACTGAACACAATCACAGAACTGAACACAATCACAGAACTGAACACTGAACACAATCACAGAACTGAACACAATCACATGAACACAATCACAGAACTGAACACTGAACACAATCACAGAACTGAACACAATCACAGAACTGAACACAATCACATGAACAATCACAGAACTGAACACAATCACAGAACTGAACACAATCACATGAACAATCACAGAACTGAACACAATCACAGAACTGAACACTGAACACAATCACAGAACTGAACACTGAACACAATCACAGAACTGAACACTGAACACAATCACAGAACTGAACACAATCACAGAACTGAACACTGAACACAATCACAGAACTGAACACTGAACACAATCACAGAACTGAACACTGAACACAATCACAGAACTGAACACTGAACACAATCACAGAACTGAACACTGAACACAATCACAGAACTGAACACAATCACAGAACTGAACACTGAACACAATCACAGAACTGAACACAATCACAGAACTGAACACAATCACAGAACTGAACACTGAACACAATCACAGAACTGAACACAATCACAGAACTGAACACTGAACACAATCACAGAACTGAACACAATCACAGAACTGAACACAATCACAGAACTGAACACAATCTGGGGATTGTAATAATGGGGAATGCATGTGGATGTCATAGCAAGGCGTCTTGCCTTGTTTTCATACGGTCCGATGTTTCTCTTTCTTTTTTGGCGTAATCGCCAGATTTAATGATGATACATTTTATTTCCTAATTATAATGTGTAGCACTGTTTTTAAACTTGTATTCAAACTATAATGTATTTGTTATTTGTCTAAAAATGAATTGTTTGGTTCTGCATGAGCAAAAAAACGTTTTTCCCCATCCTCCTTTCTGGTTTTAGAGTTCTTCTCGAAATAAAAATTAGGCTTACTGCTTTATTTATTAAGAAACAGAAGTAATTAAAAATTATATTTAGGTATTTTATTTTATATAACCTTAACTATTCAAATAACAGTCAAGTTACTACAGCACTGTTGTCAGCAATTCAGCATTCGTTTCAATGAAACAAAAAGCTGTCGTATATCTTCAGAAGATTTATTGTGTGTATGTGTGTGTGTGTGTTGCTATGATAGTAAAACCAGTCATTTTTGATCTTGTGGGGAATTTTTTTTTTTCGGTCCCCATGAGAAAAACAGCTTATAAATCATACAAAATTATGTTTTTTGAAAATGTAAAAACGCAGAGAGTGTTCTGTTATTGGAAGGTTTAATTACTTGTGTAAGAGGAGAGACATACAGTATAAACACCATTACGTCTATAGAGAGTCCCCATAAAACATGAAAACCCAACGTGTGTGTGTGTGTGTGTGTGTGTGTGTGCGTGTGTGTGTGTGTGTGTGTGTGTGTGTGTGTGTGTGTGTGTGTGTGTGTGTGGAAAAGAGCTTAGTTAAGATTCTTTGAAAATGTCTCTTTCTGTGCTCCGTTGGGGGAAACTGCATACGGCTCTGGACCGATGTTGAGAGTATGTAAATAAATCAGCATTCATCTTCAGACGGCCTGTGAGGCTCGTGCGCGTGCGTGTGCTGATAGTGTGTGTGTGTGTGTGTGTGCTGATAGCTCCAGCATCCCGGCTGTGTGTTCCAGTGATATACGGGGCGTCCCGCTGTTTCACTGCACTGAAGCGTGTAACGGCTCGAGCTCCTGCGGTGTGACTGACAGCCAGCAGCACTTCCTCAGTTCCCACTGTTCCCTGTCCGAACATCTCCATCTCTTCTGTGTGGGTTTCTTTATGAAGAAAGTGCATAGCGACGATGTTTGTCAAGTCAAGTCACCTTTATATATAAAGCACTTTGTACAATACAGAGTGTTTCAAAGCAGCTTTACAGAGATAACGGGAAAATAATGCAACAAAGTTTGTTTCTAGAAGAAAATAGCGTCACAGTCCAGCTTAAGTCAGTTCAGTGATGGTTCATTTTTGTTGTAAAAACGTTATTAATTTAGTTAATTTATATATATAGCCGCTCTGGAAAAAACTGTGATGTCATCGTCCAGCTCAGTTCAGTTCTCATATAATGCTGTCAATGCAGATCAATAATATTGTTGAATATTAAATTAAATGTCCCCAACTAAGCAAGCCAAAAGCCAATGGCAACAAAGGCGACAGTGGCAAGGAACTAAAACTCCATCAAATGTGTGTGTTTTGTTAGATGACCGATATCATTTCCACTGCAAGAGAGTCAAACCTGAAGCTGACCCTGGCGTTCGGGATCGGGATGCATCACGCAGGCCTTCACGAGCGGGATAGGAAGACCGTGGAAGAGCTCTTCGTCAACTGTAAGATCCAGGTGAGACCAACAGGTGAACCGTTTCCACACTCGTTCCCAAAGCGAGCGCAGGAACTAGGTTTGGGTGAATACCGTCAGCTGAGCGATTATATAAGCATCATACATGCACTGATGGAGCACCTCTGTTGCCTTTTATGAGGGATAAGTCGATTTATTGGAACAAATCCAAACGAAACGTTCTTCTTGCTGTTCTCATGGGTTTATGTCTTCAGTGGCTTGGCTGTAAAAACATTAATGGTTATGTTGATATAATGCAAATGTGATATTTCACACATCAATATGGTAGCGGTGCAGGATAGTTTAGCATGAGAAACACAGTTTATATAGACATTTCACAGATATGTTTGATAAAAGTCTCTTCTGCTCACCAACGCTGCATTTATTTGATCAAAAATACAGTAAAATCAATAATATTGTGAAATATTATTACAATTTAAAACAGCTGTTTTCTGTGCGAATATGTTGTAAAGTGTAATTTATTCCTGTGATCAAAGCTGTATTTTCAGCATCATTACTCCAGTCTTCAGTGTCACATGATCCTTCAGAAATCACCCTGATATGAGGATTTGCTCAAAAAAAAAATCTGATTATTATCAGTGTTGAAAAAAGTTGTGCTGGTCAATTTATAAAAAAATTTTTTTTTTTTTTCAGGATTCTTTGAGAAACATAAAGTTAAAAAGAACAGCATTTATTTGAAATAGATAGCTTTAATGTTGTTAGAAGAGAGTGCTTAAACATCTTAAATTCAGTTTGATCAAAATTAAGGCCATAGAACGTCTTAAATATCTTAAATCGTATAACAAACCGTAAGAGTTTTTAAATATGGGGACGGAATAAGAGGAATCGCAATTATGTGATTGATTATCATAAAAAGGAGAGGATTCTCATCCTCTGTCACAGGACGGAAAGAATAATTATTTTACACATTGATTCAATATATAGATTTTACTAGTGTCAGCACAATTGCCTTACTTTAAGCACATTATGATTATACCAGCAAAATTCAATATCTGTCACCCTCTAATTTGCAGCTAGTACGTAAAAAAATGTCAATGCATATGTATATATTGAATAAAACATTTATTGAGAAATAGTTATGCTATTTCACAGTTGAATAAAACTTTAAAATGCATGATTTATTTTGAAATCATGTGGGTTTGTTCTGTATGGACATACAATATACGTTTTTCTTTGCTCTGGTCTTAAAAAGTCTTAAATATGAAACATTTATTTTATAAACAATATTTGCAACACTATACAGAGACCCTGATAGAAGTGTTTAGTGTCACTCATTATTCATCTGTTATTTTACCAGGAATAATCCCATTGGGATGTAAATGTCTTCTACCAGGAGTCCTGGCCAAAGTGGCAGCACAAAAAAGGCTGTTTTTATTATTTTAATTTAGATTACAAAACCAGAAATATAAGACAAGTCAGTCACGTTTCCCTCAGGTAGGACTCTGAAAGGTTTCTAAGAACATTTAAAGATGGGACTGCTCCTAACATGCTAATACTCTGCATTTCTTCTGATTAGTTGAATGCACCATTATTGAATTAAAGTATTAATTTCTTTCAAAAATACAAAAGTCTTAATGTCGCTAACTTTCCCAACGACACTGGGAGTTCACAGGAAGACACTTTATCTCCCGGTGTAAACGGCAGTCTGTCTCGCATGAACACTTGTGATGCTAATATCAAGTGTGAACACAATAACTATTTCAGTTTTATCTTCTGGAACTGGGGACATTTTCAGCTCTTCCCAAAAACATATGGATTACATGCAGGGTTTGCGATTAACACGCCAAATGCGGGTAAAAATCAACAGTGGCGGGTAACGCTGTCACATCACGAGCTGACTTGGCGTGTTACCTATTATGTTTGCTCTCTTTGCTGGGGAAGTTCGTGTAAGTTAAATCTGCACAGAATTAACACAAATCCTCAACTACTGCAGCGTATTGTGCAGAATCTGCTCAGATCTGCTTTCTTGAACAGGAACGTCTCTTCGCAACACATAACGGCGCGCGTGTTCATTGGCATTGAGGCAAAAGCGAAGATTAAAAAGCATTTGGTTAACAGAAAAGACGGTTATTTTCCAGCATCCTACATTTTTTTGATGTTTGTACTGTATTGATCTGTACATCTAAAACACATTTTTGGTGAAGAGGATGAAAGAGGAAGGGAGCAGACGGCTGGATGACAGGATTTTGTTTCAATAAGAAATTAATGTATGAAATCCATTTATTATATACAGGTGAAACTCGAAAAATTAGAATACCGTGCAAAAGTTCATTTATTTCAGTAAATCAACTTAAAAGGTGAAACTAATATATTATATAGACTCATTACATGCAAAGTGAGATATTTCAAGCCGTTATTTGTTATAATTGTGATGATTATGGCTTACAGCTTATGAAAACCCCAAATTCAAAATTAGAATATTGTGAAATGGTTTTCATATCTGTAAGCCATAATCATCACAATTATAACAAATAAAGGCTTGGAATATCTCACTTTGCCTGTAATAAGTCTATATAATATATTAGTTTCACCTTTTAAGTTGAATTACTGAAATAAATGAACTTTTGCACGATATTCAAATTTTTTTTAGTTTCACCATATATATATATATGTGTATATGTGAATGAATGAAATACATTTTATTGTCCCCAAAGGGGAAATTTGTGTTGGACTCAAGGTGTTTACATTGAAATTGAAATGCATACTTTAAAATCACTAGTATTATAATAAATAACAATTCCTATACACACACATACATATACATACACATATATACACATCATTCATCATTTAACAATTTAATTGAAAAAGGGATAAAAGACTTCTTAAAACGGTTATATCTACACATCGGAAATCTGTATCGTCTTCCAGAAGGTAACAATTCATACTCAGTGTACAGAACATGCAATGGATCAACCACGATTTTATGTGCTTCTGTGTGTGTGTGTGTATAAGATGTGACGTAGTTAATCTGGTTAATTTATTTTCTTTCTTTTCTTTTGGGCTAGTAGAAGTTCTGAATGGCCAGTAACTTAAAAATTTACTAGCCAAATTGGCCGGTGAGTGAAAAAGTTCATTTCAAACCCTGGTTATATGAGAAACACACACACTAGTGGTTTGGTGAAATAATCCGACTTCTCCCATACGTGTTCCTGTGTCTCCTGTGTAAGGTGCTGATAGCGACGAGCACACTAGCGTGGGGCGTTAACTTCCCTGCGCACCTGGTGATCGTGAAGGGCACAGAATACTACGACGGGAAGACCCACCGCTACGTGGATTACCCCATAACAGGTAACATCTGTTTTTACATCTGTGTGTGTGTGTGGGTGGGGGGGTGGGGTTCGCAGACTGTCCAATGTCATTGATCTCTATCATTCTCATTCCAGATGTTCTTCAGATGATGGGTCGAGCGGGACGGCCCCAGTTCGATGACCAGGGCAAGGCTGTTATCCTTGTGCATGACATCAAGAAGGACTTCTATAAGAAGTTCTTGTACGAGCCGTTCCCTGTGGAGTCGAGGTGTGTACAGAGACAAGTCAAGTCAGCTTCATTTATACAGCGCTTTTAACAATATAGATCGTTTCAAAGCAGCTTTACAGTGATAACAGGAGATTACAGTAACAGAGATTTGTCTTTACAGCAGCTCTAGAATAAAGTTATTGTCCAGCTAAAGTTAGTTTTGATTGATTCACTTCCATTGCAAAGATCATTAGTTATTAACTTAAGGGCCGGTTACACGACACCGTTTAACTGAAAACTCTTAACGTGTTCTGGCCGCTCACGCGCACGACAGCAGTGTTTGGTGGCTCGAGAACGCGAACTACACAAGACAGAAACAAAGATCATTAGTTATTAAGTTAGCAATGCATCTCTCACTGTTCGGGCCAACTCTGAATCAACACTCACCAATGCTGTATTTTCTAAATGCCATAATCATTTGTTAACAAACAAGTATTCATTACTTCAATGAGCTCATTGTTTCTGCATTGCATTACTACATTGTTTATGTACATTTCTGAAATACATAACTTAGAGAGTTACCTCTGATAACAGATCACTCTAAACTTGTAATGTGGACTTTGAAATTGTGAAAAGCTCTATACACATAAATGTGAATTGAATTGAATTTTGACAGAAGTGGGTGTCTCCTGCCTGTCTCCTCAGTCTTCTGAGTGTCCTCTCCGACCACTTGAATGCAGAAATCGCAGCAGGAACAGTCGCCTCAAAGCAGGACGCCATGGATTACATCACCTGGACGTACTTCTTCCGCAGGCTGGTCATGAACCCGAGGTACAGCGTGTGCTTCTGAGTCTCATCGGTGACGGCATACGGCTGAACGTTTCAGATTCCTTTATTTCTCATTTTTATGGTCTACATAAAAACAAATTGTGTTTCACACATCCACCACTCACTAATTCAGTCCAAAACAATTGATTATAAAAATAAGCAGCTAATATATAATTGAAAGTCAAGTCAAGTCACCTTTATTTATACAGCTCTTTGTACAATACAGAGTGTTTCAAAGCAGCTTTACAGAGATAACAGGAAAATAATGCAACAAAGTTTGTTTCTAGAAGAAAATAGCGTCACAGTCCAGCTTAAGTAAGTTCAGTGATGGTTCATTTTTGTTGTAAAAAAAGTTATTAATTTAGTTAATTTATATATATAGTCCCTCTGGAGAAAACCATGATGTCATCGTCCAGCTCAGTTCAGTTCTCATATAATGCTGTCAATGCAGATCAATAATATTGTTGAATATTAAATTAAATGTCCGACTTAAGTCGATTTTCACACTGTGTGATTTTGGCCGCGATTTGGCCGTCTGAGACAAATTTAGCAAATCCTAAAACAATCCTCTGATCCTGGGCTAAAATCTGAAGTCTGTGATCGTAAGTTTGACATGTTGATCGACAGCCGATGAAATTCTGGAAAACCAGATTTGACTCTCAGTCCTGCAGTGACTTCTCCATGACCACCGTCAAAGTGTCTTCGCTTTTCAAGACAAGCCGTGACCAAAAGTAACATTAAAGATTTCAGTAACAGTTTATTTTACAGTCCCCTTGTTACATATACATGTACTTACCATGGTAATAACAGTAAATGATGCATAATTACATGCAACTAACCCTCAACCAAACCCTAATCCTACCCTAACCCTATAGTAAGTGCATGTAGTTGCTTAATATTACTCAGTACTTAAATATATAATTACACTGTAACAATGACACCTTAAAATAAAGTGTAACCGGGATTTCTTTGTAGCCACCATTTCAATCCCGCGTGTAATGAAGCTCACTGTGAACGTATGTGTCATTGATTGATGATGTTAAACAACTTTTCTTGCGGGCGTCTGTTTTTATCGTGTCTTGACTGTCGTACAGTCTGACATTAATGACAGCTGAGATCCTACAGTGTGACATGGCTTACAGCGAGGATCATGGTCGCACAGTCTGACATTAATGACAGCTGAGATCCTACAGTGTGACATGGCTTACAGCGAGGATCATGGTCGTACAGTCTGACATTAATGACAGCTGAGATCCTACAGTGTGACATGGCTTACAGCGAGGATCATGGTCGCACAGTCTGACATTAATGACAGCTGAGATCCTACAGTGTGACATGGCTTACAGCGAGGATCATGGTCGCACAGTCTGACATTAATGACAGCTGTGATCTTACAGTGTGACATGGCTTACAGTGAGGATCATGGTCATACAGTCTGACATTAATGACAGCTGAGATCCTACAGTGTGACATGGCTTGCAGCGAGGATCATGGTCGCACAGTCTGAAATTAATGACAGCTGAGATCCTACAGTGTGACATGGCTTACAGCGAGGATCATGGTCGCACAGTCTGACATTAATGACAGCTGTGATCTTACAGTGTGACATGGCTTACAGCGAGGATCATGGTCGCACAGTCTGACATTAATGACAGCTGAGATCCTACAGTGTGACATGGCTTACAGCGAGGATCATGGTCGCACAGTCTGACATTAATGACAGCTGAGATCCTACAGTGTGACATGGCTTACAGCGAGGATCATGGTCGCACAGTCTGACATTAATGACAGCTGTGATCTTACAGTGTGACATGGCTTACAGCGAGGATCATGGTCGCACAGTCTGACATTAATGACAGCTGTGATCTTACAGTGTGACATGGCTTACAGCGAGGATCATGGTCGCACAGTCTGACATTAATGACAGCTGAGATCCTACAGTGTGACATGGCTTACAGCGAGGATCATGGTCGCACAGTCTGACATTAATGACAGCTGTGATCTTACAATGTGACATGGCTTACAGCGAGGATCATGGTCGCACAGTCTGACATTAATGACAGCTGAGATCATACAGTGTGACATGGCTTACAGTGAGGATCATGGTCGCACAGTCTGACATTAATGACAGCTGTGATCTTACAGTGTGACATGGCTTACAGTGAGGATCATAGTCGCACAGTCTGACATTAATGACGGCTGAGATCCTACAGTGTGACATGGCTTACAGTGAGGATCATGGTCGCACAGTCTGACATTAATTACAGCTGAGATCTTACAGTGTGACATGGCTTACAGTGAGGATCATGGTCTTACAGTCTGACATTAATGACAGCTGAGATCCTACAGTGTGACATGGCTTACAGCGAGGATCATGGTCGCACAGTCTGACATTAATTACAGCTGAGATCTTACAGTGTGACATGGCTTACAGTGAGGATCATGGTCTTACAGTCTGACATTAATTACAGCTGAGATCTTACAGTGTGACATGGCTTACAGT